TGCCGCACGTGGTTACCAGAGCGCGGGTCCTGGGGGAGGACCGTGCATCTCTGCTCCCCCACCGCCAGCTGGGGCTCTGCCCTCGCTCCTGCCATCCTCGCTCAGCACAAGTAGGCCATCTCCTCCCATCGCACCTCGGGTGGAGGGATGGCTCTGCTCGCTGGCATAGGCTGTGTGTGCTGGGATTTGGAAGCTGGCAGTGAATGTCTTTGCCCCATCAGGAAAGGGATGGTTACTGAACAGCTCCTCTCGTCTCCTTTGGGCAGGAAGCAACGCAACAGCACGGACCCCGAGTACACAGAGAAGCTGCAGCAATACGGTGAGTGTGAGAGCCCAGCAAATGGGCTCTGCCTCTCTCAAATCCTGTCCCATGTGCGAGCAGAGGGGCAGCTTTTGCTAGCCAGGGACTGAGAATGATGGGCTGACAGCCGGCCAAGCTGGCTCAGCATGTGTCACCACGTCATGTCCCTCGCGGTGATAACTCCTCTGCCCTCGCAGTCACCCCTGGGATGAAGGTCTACATTGACCCCTTCACCTACGAGGACCCCAATGAAGCTGTCCGGGAATTCGCCAAAGAGATTGACATCTCCTGCGTCAAAATCGAGGAGGTCATTGGAGCAGGCAAGTCCCGGGGCTGGGCACAGCGGCTGATGCGACCTCTGCGTCTCCCCTCCCTGCCGTGTGGCTCACGGTGCTGTTCCCTTCTCCCCTTCCCCACCGCAGGGGAGTTCGGTGAGGTGTGCCGCGGGCGCCTGAAGTTGCCCGGCCGCCGCGAGATCTTTGTAGCCATCAAGACACTGAAGGTGGGCTACACAGAGCGGCAGCGGCGCGACTTCCTGAGCGAGGCCAGCATCATGGGCCAGTTTGACCACCCCAACATCATCCACCTGGAGGGCGTGGTGACCAAGAGCCGCCCCGTCATGATCATCACAGAGTTCATGGAGAACTGCGCACTCGACTCCTTCCTCCGGGTGAGCGTCCACCCACTCCTGCCCTGGACTAGGGGCTGCAGCGCATGGGGGTGGCAGCTCCAAGCCCTCCTTCTCCATCCCTTTGCATTCTTGTTCTGGCGTGCCCAGGGCTAAACTGTGCATAGACAACGTGTGCTGGGGGATGAAGGGTGGCTCTATCGAGGAGGAAGATGGTGGTAGTGCATTGAGATCCTTCCCCAATCCATTTGGGGCGTTCCTGACACCACTGATCTCTCCCCTGACAGCTCAACGATGGGCAGTTCACGGTCATCCAGCTGGTGGGGATGCTGCGAGGCATTGCCGCCGGCATGAAGTACCTTTCAGAGATGAACTACGTGCACCGAGATCTGGCTGCTCGCAACATCCTGGTCAACAGCAACTTGGTCTGCAAAGTGTCCGACTTTGGGCTCTCTCGCTTCCTGGAGGATGACCCAGCTGACCCCACCTACACCAGCTCCCTGGTATGGGACCCTTGTGGGGCATCTGCGGGTGTGGGGAGACACCTCAGGTATGTGCTAAATAATGGGGCTGTGTATCCATGCAGGGAGGCAAGATCCCGATCAGATGGACGGCTCCCGAGGCCATTGCCTACCGCAAATTCACTTCAGCCAGTGACGTGTGGAGCTACGGCATCGTCATGTGGGAAGTGATGTCCTACGGAGAGCGGCCATACTGGGACATGTCCAACCAGGATGTAAGTGCTCCTGAGGGTGTGGGGGACTGTGGGCCACCCGTGGGGGCCTGGGTGGCTCATGGCCTGCCCTCTGCATGTCCCTCCACAGGTGATCAATGCGGTGGAGCAGGATTACCGCCTGCCTCCCCCCATGGACTGCCCCACAGCGCTGCACCAGCTGATGCTGGACTGCTGGGTGCGGGACCGCAACCTGCGGCCCAAGTTTGCACAGATCGTCAACACGCTGGACAAGCTGATCCGCAATGCTGCCAGCCTGAAAGTCATCGCCAGCGTCCAGTCTGGGTCAGTGCCATCCCCACCTCCAGCTGGGACATGCCCCAAGCCTGGGGAACACTGGGGTGGTTGGGACAAGAGATGTGAGAGGGCAAGGATGAGAAATCTTCCCCCCAGTTCCAGTTTACAGCTCTCTGTCCCCTGCTCCCTGTGACCTGTGGCTCTTTTGCCCTTTAGCATCTCCCAGCCGCTCCTGGACCGCACCGTCCCGGATTACACCACCTTCACCACGGTGGGAGACTGGCTGGACGCCATCAAAATGGGACGGTACAAGGAGAACTTCGTCAACGCTGGCTTTGCCTCCTTCGACCTGGTGGCGCAGATGACTGCGGAGTAAGTCCCTGCTTGTGGAGGAGGGAGAGGGCTGGGGCTGCTCCACCTGAGCATCTGCAGAGCTGAGCTGTGCATGGGCTTTTCCCAAGTGGGTTAAGGTCTGGGATTCAGCATCCTGTGGTGGTAGAGGGACACGAGAGCTTGGCAGGAGGCTGTGGTGAAGATGGGTCCCTTGGCAGCAGGGCCGTATGCTGGTGTCGCTGCTGGCAGAGGGCTGAGTCTTCATCTTCTCCTTGCAGAGACCTGCTGAGGATAGGGGTGACACTAGCAGGGCACCAGAAGAAGATCCTGAGCAGCATTCAGGACATGAGGCTGCAGATGAACCAGACGCTCCCGGTGCAGGTTTGACCACAGGGGACTCTGCATTGGAATGGACCGAGGGAACCTGTCCCAGCCAGGTTCAGTTTGCGGTGCAGCCCGGCTTCCCGTTGCCCCCTTCACACGGCACTCCTCTGCCTCGGACGGTCGCCTGGGATGGGCCGGGACGGGCCGCCCTTCCCTGGATCAGAGGCACTCATGCCGAGAGGGAGCCCAGCTTTTCGGCCTGTGTCCTGGAGCGGCGAGGCAGCAACGCATCTTCATATTGAAGATGGATTATGGGACAGAGATGGCACATCCCGCTTCCCGCCCTGTCTCGGTGCTCATCGGTTTGAAGAGTTGTTCTGCTTCTTGGATTTCTATTCACCCACAAGTTTTTCCCTCCCAAGTCCTCACTTCCCACCCCTCCCCAAGGCCACAGACTGTTGCCCCGTCCGCTGAGTCCGTCAGACACGTCCGAAGCCTTCCCAAACTCTGGTCCTTGAGTGGAAGCAGCCAGGGGAGGCCAAGCCGCCGGGAGGGGATGCCCACGGTGGAGACGGCGATGGGGCCGTGGGCCCCAGACAATCACTACTCTCCTCCAGCCCCGGCGGCCCCCCAGGGTCTGCACTGAAACGTGTCCGAAGCGAAGGCTTCACTCCCTTTCTTGGCTTTGCACGCCAGAACCCAAACCCCACGAGATTTACTATGCAGGGAGTTAGGCAAAAAAAAAGAAAAAAGAAAAAAAAAAAGAGATATATTGAAAAATAAGAGGGAGCAGAAAGGGGAGGGAGGGGGACCAGGCGCCCGGCTCCACATCTCTTACCCTCTTGGTTCTCCCGGTCGGCTCTGGACTGCAGAGCAAGGCCGTCAGCACGTTTGCACAGGGACCCTGCGCCCCCAGACCCATGGCGGCCGCGCTCCCCCGCAAGGGGCCAGAGAGCGGGGCTGGGGTGGGGGCTGCGCCAGGAGCCCGGGCCCGGCTCCCCAGCCTCCTGTTTTATGCAGAAGGAGCGGGTGCCGCCGGCGCGGCCATCCCGCTCCTGACACACGCTGTGATTGCTGCCAAAAGACTCACTCACCTTTCCCCAAGGATTCACTGCAGCCCCCGGTCCCTCCAAGCCGAGGGAGAGCCCCCGGCGTGCCTGAGTGTGCGTGAGTGTGTGCATGCGTGCGTGGGTGTGTGCTGGCCGGCAGGACTGTGTGAGGCAATGGGCAGAATAAAGGCAATAAGACTTTTACCGGAGTTTCCTTTGCTCGATCGCGCTCTCCCTGCAGTGGACTTGGCCGCCTGCGGCTTCGCTGCCCGCCAGGGTCCTCTCTGTGCCCCTCTCCGCTCCCCTCTTCTCTTGCTCCCACGCATTCTGGCAAAAAACCGGGGCACCGGGGTCAGGCAGCGATGCTGCACCCACCCTGCAGTCCTGGAGACTCAGCGTGCTCTGCTGCAGGGTACGTAGGGTGGAGGTGACGAGTCGCAGGGCAAAGCCAACTGTGAAACTCCATCTAATGCACTCAGAGATGCTCATCGTTAAATTTTACCCTCATTATCCTCTCCTTAAATCAAGCTGGAGCTGTGGGACCCGAACCCGGTATGTGAAAACCAAGTGGGGAGCAGTGGGGCTCATCACCCATCCCAGCACCAGGGGGTCCCGCAGTCCCGAGGCTGCTCCCCAGGGTGCTGGCCCCCAGCTGCTCCCCCAAACAGAGCCCACTGCAACATCCACCAGCATCCCCCATCACTGGCTTCTTATCGTGAAATGGCAGCTACTGGGCTGGGTGGAGCACACCAGAGCAGGCAGCAAGGTCACCCCCCTTTGGACTCTGGGAGAGCTTGGCCAGGGAGTCCCCACGCTGTCAGCACAGGGGGCTCCCCAGTAGCTGAGTGGGACTCCAGGTTGCTCACGCTGCGGGCATTCAGGTCCTAAAGCCCCCTCGGCTGCAGTTACCCTCACTAGTGCCCTTACAGGGGTGCTTTGGGATGCTCCCCAGGATGTGGGAGTGCCCCCATGTGCTCAGCCCTGCACCCCTCCTCCCCGGGTTGGCCAAGCAGGTGCTGTTTTGCTGGTTTTTTCCCCTTTCCTTGAAGCTTGTCTGCCCTGGGTTTCTCATTAACCCTGTTCCCTTCCCAGGGAACAGTAAACAAGGCCAAGGAGGGGGCACAGCAGCAGGGCCTGTGCTGGGAAATGGGGTCCCCGCATCTCCCCATCCCAGAAACACTGTGGGGCTCAGGGGCTCTCCCCACCACTCTACAAGGTTTGGGGTCCCTCCAGTGCATCCCCAATATTCCCACTTCAACCTCTCATCCCTTGCTTTGGGGGGGGTTCTACTCATTTTCAACAGCAAACCCCCCAACAAACCCCTTCTCCCAACCTTCTCCATGCCCACCCCACTCCCATGGGGCAGGACACAGCATCCCCAGGTGTCACCCCCAGCCTCAGCCCCCCGGGGCCGCACCCAGGGGGTCTTCACCCACCACCTCCCTTTTTATACGGATACGCACAGGGGCGGCGAAAGCAAAGCAGCAGCGAAAAAAAACAGCAGTGAGGGCAATGAATGCGAGCGTGCGTTTGTAAAAATATTTTTTAACGGAAAGACTTCTTTTTTTCAATTAAATTATTTAAGGAATT